TTTCTTGATCCATTCATCTACTGAGGGGCATCTGGGTTGGTTCCATATCTTAGCTATGGTAAATAATGCTGCAATAAACATAGTTGTGCTGGTAAAAAAAAAAGAAATTTAAAAAGTGAATCACTTAAAAATTATGTAAGAATAACGAAATGATATTGAGGAAGGACAAAGGTAGGATGAGAGAAGTGGAGGGATAGAAAGGAAACATGAAAAATATAAAATGAAATTCTTAAAATTAGTTACTTGAAAATTATATAGGTATAAAGAGATAATAGTGCTATTAAAGAAGTTAAGCCTAAGAGGTTGTACATTGAGTAATACATTTCTGGATTAAGTATGTACACACTGGTGGATAAGGTGTAATAATATACGACAGGTATATATCTAGGGATGACCAGAACAGCAAGTAAGCCATGCAAAAAGGAAAGAAAGAGAGAAAAAAAATGAAAAGAGTAATAAAAAAGAACCAAAGGGTCAAAAGAGATTTTTTAAAAAGCACACACACACAAACACACACATACACCCCTAAAATAAAAATTGTAAGAGAAAAAAACATTAGTAGAAAACAATTTTTTAATAAATAAAAAATTTGAAAATGTACAAAAAAGAGTTCTTTGATTTTGGGGGGGATAAGGGAAATGGGAAGATCCTGTATCTCCCCTGTGTCTGTAACCAGTCTCAGTGGAGTCTCTGTTCTGCTTGTGGTGCTTGGTTTTCCTGTGGCTTGATTGGTTTCTTAAGTCAGTTTGTTTGGGCAGGCAGAAAAATGCTTTGCATTACCCAGGATTTTGTGATTCTCTTCTCAGGCTAGTTCAGTGGGAGAGAGATCTGCTTTGAGTATCACAAAAGAGGGAGATGACTGTTTCCTCTAGTTTGGAGATGCTGTGATGAGGCTAGGTTCTGGGTAGACTTGAAGCATTTCAGCAAACAGTAGGTTTTCACTGAGGGGCTAGCTCCTGAGATACTCACATAGCCCAGCCTAGAGCCATTCTCAAGGTTTATGTTTACTGAATTTCAATTTTGTATAGGTGCTGTAGGGAGGAACAGCCTTTGGCTCTGTTTACCCAGTGAAGAAAGTCACTCCTGGGTGAGGGGAGTTTTCTCTGTCTGGGCAGGTGATTTTCCCTTGGTTGGAGCTGAGCCTGGCAGGTTAGGTCAGGTTCCTGTGACCTGCTTAATGATTCTTTTGTTTTCTTCCAAGGCCTGTGTTGGAGCTAGCTGCTCAGCTAGGCAGCTCAAATATGGAGATCTCTGGTGGTGGGAGAGGAGCAGCCTTCCCTCTTCTGCTCCCTGAGAAGGAGTGAGGATGTCAGGGTTCTACTCATAGCAGTCTTGGTTCCGGGGCCGTCTCTAATCTACAATCTGCAGGATGAACGTATATGTTCCTTGTCAGTTCTTGCTGGTATTGAGTAGAATCTGTTCACGTGCCACATCTGGCGCCTTTCTCCCAGATTCTCTCTGTTAGTATGGTGGCTACAATGCTGCCACCACAGCCACTGCTACCAGCAAGTACTCAGATCTGTCTCCTTGCCTGGATTATCCCTCTCTGGCCAAACTCTCTGTACTGTGATGGCACACTTGATGTGATTCTCTAGCCTAGGATTGTTCACTGGAACACTGAAACTATGTGAGAGCTTGTTTAGCCTCCAGCTTCTCCTCTGCCATCTTCTCTGGATTTTTATTAGCCATTTTATACTTCTGGTTTTGAGAAGTTTCTTTTAGTTTAATACCAGATTGTTGATTGTTTTGTGCATTCTTTAGGAGTGTAGTGTTTTGAGCTTCCTGTATATTCTGGATATTTATCACTTGCCAGATGTTTAGGTAGAAAATTATATAAGCCACTTTTTCAATCTACTGACTGTTTAGTTTGTTGTGCCAAAAGCTTTTAGTTTGATATAATCCCATTTCATGATTCTTGCTCTTATGTACTGAACGATTTAAAATTTGTATCCGGATGTTACTGGGTAAACAGGATGTTCTGCTGTTTTTCCTATCTGCACTATATTATTTTATCCTCAGTTTTAGCTCTCAATTTTCTGGAGGATAGATAAACAAGGATCATTCACAACTTAGAGCACCCTGGGGTATCTGGCTAACCACAGTGTCCAAGAGAAGATATGTGTAAGTTTAGTCATAGAGGGGGTAGCTCTGTGAATGTAAGCATTTAATCAGTACATGTAGTGCCCTTATGTGTACAGGCATGCAGTCTTTGCATTCTGCCTGGCTCATAGACTAGAATTCTCCCTGCCACCAGCAGCTGTTTCTGGGATTCTGAGAAAGGAAGCATTTATCCATTTGGTGTTTTTAAGAATTAACAGCATATTGAGCATAACTATAGTTTACAAACTGTCCACATGCATTAATAGGAAACCTTGTGCATTTCGGCACAAAATGAAAAATGGAGGAAAGATTTAACTTCCTACCTGAAAAACAGATGCAGTGTCTCTATTACCATTGAATCACTGTATGTAGAGTTTGACATCCATGATACCACTCGGGTGTCACAGAGCAAAACATTGACATTGTGAGCTGGGTACAATAAGTTTTTCTAGAGCTCGATCTCACTTGTTGGAGTTGCTGAATTCTTCAAAATGTTCAACCCAATACAAAAATATATTCCACAGAATTCAGGTGGGGACACTCCATATAAAAAGCAGAGGAAGTGGTAGGTTCTTGGTCACAACTGAGGAACCGATATGTGAATCCTGTCCAAAGGAACCATAATGCCTAAGGCCATTTTGCTCACAGCATAAGGAACATGCAAAGGATGAAGAAGTGTTTAAACCTACAAACTTCTAATGAGTTAGGAAGAAAAATTACTGCGTACAAAGTAAGAGTAACAAGAACTCATAAAGGCAGGGGTAGTATGACTTCAGAAAATACTGAGAATGGCTCATGTTTCTCAAAGCAAGGTTCTATATATGACTTCTGTTCAGTAAAAAGAATTTTTTAAAAATACATTTTGCTTGTGATAAATGCCATCTAACCAAAGCATTACCTGTGTAGGGGAAGGTCCCATTTCTCTCTTATTGTCCGATGGTGACACTTCTGTTTGATGAAAAAGCATCTCATTGGGGGTCTGGGAAACAGCATACATAACACTGAATATATTGTAACTCTCTTTAAACATAATTATGTCAAAAGTGTGTTCTGGCAACTATTCCAAGAAGACATTGTGTGGACAATTCTCCCTTGCTACACAATCAGACTCAGAAACTGGTCAATTAAAAGAGAGAAATCACAACATAGCAAGGTAAGAGACTTCCGAGTATTTACAAGGGTTAACCCTTTGGGAGGGAGGCCAAGATGGCAACAGGACACTAGGGAAACACAACAGATCTCTCCAACCAGAGATTTCGAATTCCAATGCTTAATTCCCTCAAACAGCAAAAAGACGAACACCCAGAGAAAAACAGGAGGAAGGAAAGAAGGAAAGAAAGAGAGGAAGGAAGGAACGAAGGAACAAAGGAACGAAGGAATGAAGGAAAGAACAGAAAAGCACAAAGACCCTTCCACCAACCCCTGCTGACTATACAGCAATGCATCAAACGAGGGCCAGCCCAGCACGGCGAGGGCTACCAGAGTCTCCAAAGCTACAGGGGTTCGTCTGCAGATCACCAGTGTAAAAGACCCCCAAGGTGCCTTCCTGAACCTACTGATTGTAAACAGAAAATCTCCGAGCTTGGAACCTACACAAAGACCCTTCCCCCATCTTTTGCTCAAGCGATGGTAGCCCATCTCACCAAAACCACTTGACCTCACAGCTGATGGCAAAACATCAGAACTACAGGGGTCTCCACAGAACACCAGTGCAGAAGACTCCCAAAGTACTGGTGAAAACACAGACAGAAACTTCAGAGCTCAGAACCTGCATGAAGCCCCCTCCTCCTTCCCTCAGCAAGCTGCCAGCTCATAAACACCCACGGGGCTGACATGGAAAACACCAACAGAGGCAGAGACCCAGAAGCACAGACCCAGAGCGGCCACCAACTGACCCAGCCAACAAGCATCTCAACCAAAGAGCACAGTGGCAACCAGCCACCTACATCACACAGAAACAGCTATCTGCCACAGCACCACTGGAATGTTCCCAATTAGCTTCAAGGTGAGTA